TGTATATGGTAATATTTTCGAAGAAAAGTTAAAAATAGCAACAAAGTACAGCAACATGTAACTACTGCCATCCTTTCAAATGATTTAGAGAGCAATCTTACTGCACTGAAATATTACTACAAAATAATATATTTTTAGATGCTTTTGTGCAACACACTTAGTTAAAATTCAAGCAACATGAAAATATATCCAATATAGCTTACAAAACTTTCTATGCAGAATTGTGATGAAATTATGAAGAAATTTAGATTCCAGAAATATACGCAAGAAACATACTATAACAATACATAAATGTACAAAAGCATTTATGTTTGGGAAATGCTAATTTGTAATATTTCCTAAGCTACAGGAACTAGAGAAATCATCATAAATGACAGAAAATATACATTAAGGAGCTAAAACATTATGACCATCTACTCAATAATGCACTGTGTGGTCTTTGGCCTGCAAAACAGCTGCAACTCGCCTTCGCAAGGATGCCAAAAGTTACTGGTAGATGACTGGAGACAGGTTGAACCAAATGTCTAAGCAGCGGTCACATAAATTCTAGATATTCCAACATGATGGTGTTTGAACTCTGAGCTGCTGCTCCATGACATCCCAAATGTGCTCTTTTACCGTTCAAGATCCGGCGAGTTAGGTGACCAGGACGTTAACTGAGAGTCATCCTTATGCTCCTCGAACCACTTCAACTGAATTCAAGCCTTGTGACATGGGGCATTATTCTGCCGACAGATTCCATTTCCAGTTGGGAAGAGAGACACCATGTAAGGGAAGTAACTGATCTGCAGTTATGTTCAGAGAGTCCAGTGGTTCTTAACCGGGGGTGCCCGCACCCTTGGGGGTGTGGGAATGTATTTTTGGGGGTGTGGGAAAAGCCCCTACCTAACCATAAAAATTATTAAATATCATTTATTAAATTTCTTATAATAAAATATTTGAAATCTGCAATAGTGCCCCAACATTGAAGCTCATAAAAATTGGTAGCACCTAGCTCACTCATCGGCAAAAGACACAGGAAAGAGCCAGTGCCAATGGGCGTATACATTACGCTATGAAAAGACATGAAACGCTACAAACGAATGCGAACAGGCAGCTAGGTGACGGAGAAAAGAAAAAAACTTTGTGGGAATTAAAGCGGAGAACGTTATCCCAGCTTGTGCATGCGCTGAGTTCAATATGTGCTACTCCAATGGAATCTACGGATTCACAAATTTGTATCTGCAGCTACTGCACCTGTGTTAGGTTGAGTCAACTATAGTGTCTGCGAAATGTGTATTGTGTATTCTGACTTGTCCAGAAACTTCTTGAGACTAATACATTCTTAATTGCCTGTTCAAGCTGAATAGGATTCAGTGATATTACAAACGTAAGAACATTATATATATTATATTACATTATTTCTAAATAATTAAATCGATTATAGTAAACCCCACTATGTCAAAAAAATGACAATGGAACGATAAGTATGCCGGTTATGGATTTTCCTGCACAACCGAAAAAGATGGCACGCAACGACTGCAATGCATCTTGTGTTCCAAGATATTTTCAAACAGCAATCTTAAACCAGCAACGTTATTAGAGCATTTCAACAATCTGCATAGTGGTGAAAAAGCGCATAGCATGTACAGCTTGAAGTCAAAGAAGGCTCGGTTTTATACCAGTGGAACTATCCTAAAATTGTGCAGACCAGCAATTCAAAAACCTTTATTAGAAGCGTCATATCAAGTGGCATATTTATGCGAAAAAAAAAAAAGAAAGAAAAAAGAAACCTCACAAGATCGCTGAAAGAGTTGATTAAACCTTCTGCTTTAATTATGCTAAAACAGTTTTAGATTCGGAAGCACATAAAAAAATCCAACATGACTTCCATTAGCGAATGATATTATACGATCGCGAATACAAGATCTCGGTGAAGATATTTTAATGCAAGTAATTGAAGAACACGAAAATCAGTCCACTAAAAATAAGCATGCAACTGGATGAGTCAACTGATGTTTGATAATTATAGCCAACTTTTGGTATTTGTCAGCTATGTGAAGGAAAAAGAGGTGACAGAAGAATTTCTATTTTGTGAGCCACTGGAGGTGAATACGAGAGGAATTGATGTTTTCAATCGTATCAAAGATTTTTTTACTAAATATCAATTACCAATGAATGCGGTTGGCTCGATATGCACTGATGGAGCCCCAGCAATGTTAGGCAAAAATTCAGGATTTGTTTCACACATGAAAAAAGAATTACCGGAAGTTACAATAACGTATTGCATCGCCATGCAACTTGCGTCGAAAACATTGCCAGAAAGTTTAAAACAATATCTAGCAGTAAATGTAGTAAAATACATCCGAGGGCGAGCGCTTAATCATCGCATTTTTTGTGCATTTTGCGAAGAAATTGGTGCTGATCATACCGTGCTCCTATATCACACTGAAATACGATGGTTATCTAAGGGTCGCATGCTTAACAAAGTTTTTTAATTGCGTAGGGAAATTATTCAATTACTGACTAGTCAAAACTGTTATTTAGTAAAAGATTTTGAAAGTAATAATGCAATGCTGAGGCTGGCTTACTTAGCAGATATATTTAGCCATTTAAACGAATTGAATCTATCAATGCAAGGATTTGGTATAAATATAATAATATCTAGTGAAAAATTATCTTCATTTATCGCAATAATTAGAAATTTGGATACGTCGAGTAGAAAAGGAGAATTTTGCAAACTTTCCCTTGCTTGATTCTGTTATTGCGAAAAATGAAAAGAATACAATTATACCCAACCTTGTAATACATTTGAGACGATTGAGCGAATCATTCAATGGATATTTTTTTACCGAAAATATTACCAAAACTCAGAGATGGATACTGGATCGATTTCTATTTGACTTAAATTTGATGGATGATAGTGATCTGAAAAAAGATCAACTTATCGAAATGCGAGCAAGTGGACATGTTCAAATGGAATTCAAACAATTAGAATTGCAACAATTCTGGTGTTCACAGTTACAACATTATCCGGAGTTGGCGAATGGAGCACTGCAGTTACTCTTACCCTTTGCTACGACCTACTTGTGCGAAATGGGGTTTTCATTGCTTTCGCATACAAAAACTAAAGCGAGAAATCGCTTAAATGCAAGTGATGACTTATGCGTATGTCTTTCAAAAAAGGAACCTTGCTTCACCAGTATAATAATGAACAAACAACAGCAGACTAGTCATTAATAAAAATAATATTGTTTTGTATTTATATAAAATGTACAATGTTTTTCAATAAACAATAAATTTCACAAAAAATGTATTTTTCTAGACTAAAAAAAATTAAAACACATTTTTCAATGGGGTGCAGAGATATATTTTCAGATTCAATGGGGTGCGACTCGCTAGAAAGATTAAGAAACCCTGAGATAGAGTCCATAGCTTTCATTGTCTTTTCTACCACAACTTAAGGTCCCAGAGCCATGCATGAATTTTGTCCCCCCAAAGCATAATACTGCCATCACCAGGCTTGGGTATGACCTGCTGTACACAGGGGAGTAACTGTTGGCCTGGAAGATAGGGTACCCTGACACGACTATAGACGTGATGGGATGTCTGCTGCGCCGTCCAATATCCAAAGGTGTCTGTTGAACTGTGTGTTCTGAAACACATGCACCTGGCCCTGCATTGTTTCAGGCTGTCAGCTGAGCCACTGTCTAGCACCGATTTTGCTGTACCAAGCGACTCAGTCGCCAACGTCCTTTTTTTTATGACACGTGGATGTCCAACACCTTGACATCTACTGCTGGTTTCACCATCATTTAGCCTTTTCGTATAAATACTAACAATGGCAAATCGTGAACAACCTACCAGTTGTGCAGTTTCAGAGATACTCATTACAAGTCTCAGGCCATTACAATCTGTCCTTTCTCAAATTTGCTTTCATCAGCAGCCTTTCCCATCACTAACAAAAGTAAGCGCAAGAATGATTCCTTATCTTCCCCAGTACGCTGGCTGCCATTGTTTGTGGCATTAAGGAGGGGATCCAAAATGATCAAGAGGCCGAATTGGGCAGGCGGCTTGGGTCCTCCCCAGATTCTTATCTTCTCCATTAGCAGTTAAATACCATTCCCACTTAATCACGTGCCCTCCATGCCATCCAGACGAGTTCACTAAAATATGTGGGCATATGATCATAATGTTTCGGCTCATCAGTGTATTATGATTAATTTCTCGGATTCTTCAGCCCTTGGAAAAGTATTACTCAGTGGTTACGCCCTCCAATGCTTCTATTTGAAAAATGCATATAATACATAATTTTACATGGAGATAAATATTTTCTACTAACTTCACAAACAGTTGGTCCCTTACTTTACAGCAGAGGAAGAAAATGAAGTATTTCTTTAACCCTCTGAGCGGCATAGGATTTTAGATCCATGATGAAGACCAGTATTTAAACAGCATTTATTAATTGAGTTTGTATAATTACTTATTTTAATCGATATTTTCATAAACTTACATTCCTTAACATGATATTTACATTATTAACGAAAGTAAGAAAGTAAAATATCTTAAATTATAAGCTAATATATGCCAAGTAGCAAAACTTCTTATTACTGGATAAAGCCGGTCATAATGCTCAGAGGGTTAATTTAAAAAGAATAACATGCATGAAGTTCATTAAAATACTGTTCAGATTTTAACCAAAGGTATTCTAGAAAAATAAAAGCAACTGTAATACACTTGGAAACTAAAATTTTATTTAATGGTACTAAAAAGAAATAAAGATAACAATGTGCAAGATTCACAGAAAAAATGTACGGTGAATTTCGAAGTCAGATGAAATATAGAAGGTTTACAATAGTCCCTGTAAAATCAATGATATGCATTTCAAAGAGTACACAGAAAAGAATTTACTTCACATGCTATCTGCTGAATGAAAATACTAAAAGTAATATTAATCAAAAGAAAAAAGTCACCATGAATTATTTTAATGATAGAACCTAAAAGAAAAATTCTTACAATACCTTCCTTTCTTTTTTTCCAAAACTCAATCCAGGTGTTCCTTTCTCCACAACCAGACACGAAATTCCTTTTGGTCCTCTTTCACCAGTTCTTACCATAACAACATAAATATCAGATTCACCACCACCACTGATAAAAGCCTTTGTACCGTTTAATACATAAAATTCTTCATCTCTTTTAGCAGTAGTCATTAATGAAGCTGCATCACTTCCACTGCCTATAATTTAAAAAAAATTGTGACAATTTAGAATTCTTATTAACAAAGGGGAAATATATAAAGTGTGGCATAGCATATCAATGGAACTATACCATATCCAAAAACCTATTTCATTACTTAATTATGCTCCATGTCAAATAGCAGTTACAGGAATATGATTTTATCAGTCAGATTTCTGTCAAATGATGGTCTTGCTGCATTGACACTGAAGATATTATAGTAACTGTCACAAGTGAATGTTATCAAAGGATGCTGCACTGTTTCTTTCTCCTTCAGATAGATGCTGAATGCAGACAGCGATCTATCTATTTTGATAGATAGCATTAGCAAAATGGCAACTATCTATACAGTGAAAGCAAGCAGGGATTTTTTGCAAAAGATATTTCCATATTATAATTTCTCATTATGATGATATCTAATTGCTGTCTTGGCCCTGCTGTAGAAGGTTTTCTTTCAGACTTTACTAGAAAAACAAATGAGTTGCTGCCCTATTTGAAAATGTACAAAAAAGTCTTATGAAAGTTTTAAATAAACTTTTTAAGCTTATATTGAGCAAAAAGTGCAATTTCTGTGTACAATAAATACTTTACCACTTGAGGGTATTGAAATAACTTAAAAACCATATTTACAGTTTTAAAAGGGATCACTGCCCAAGGTACACAAATTTGGTCGAACTAAGCTGTCTCGACTTAAATGGTGTGATTTAACGAACTTCTAATGCCAGAATATTAACTGACAGTGTTGGGGGGAGATAGGAAAAAAAAAGATGCAAGAGTCACAGCCAACAGCCTTGTATCTAAAACATATAAGACCCTCACCTTAAATAATCTTTTAATCTCAGTTGCATCCTGGTAAGGGCTACGAGAGGGAATAAGTTATATTATGATCCAAATCATAAAAATTGGTTACTTAACATAAAATACATTATACATGTTGTGCTACAGTACTGGAGCTGAAGGGCTGCATCTTTGTCACGGTTTACCATTAGTACTTATGAACATATATTATGATGAGTAATAGATATTACCAATGCCACTTGGAAGAAAGTACACAGCAGCAGGGCTTTAGATGTCTAAATTAATATTCAAACTCTGATTAATAAATAGCATTCCTTATAATTAATATTTGATATAAAGTAAGAAAAAGAAAAATTCTTAATTTATGTAGTAATTTTTATTAATATGCTATTAATTTTACCCCCACTCTATATATTTCCCTTTTGATAAAAAGAGATAATACATAAAAAGTGCACAGGCAAGACTTTTACTGTTAATCTCTAAGACAGTTTGTCAAGAGCTTAAAAAAACTATAATAAACTATAATAAATAAACTTTTCTTTCTTATACAAACAGTGACTGGGACAGCGAATGGATGACAATGCATTGGGAATAAATTGAATTAAGTAAAACATTAAATACCTACTTAACAGTTTGTTGGTATTACTCTAATACAAACAGCTGCCTGCATGTCTACTGTGGTATTTGGTTCTGTCAGATACCAATAGGTTACCAACAAATCTGCTACAACCAATTAAAGGGAAATGAAATTTTGCCAAAGTAAAAGTGAAAGTATTTTCAAAAGTTCCTGAATATCATGTTGAATTTTTGAAACATATTACAGTACAAAGTCCGAGATCTGGACTAGTCGGGACTTCAGCAATTACGGATTTGAGATTTTTTTCGGATATTAGATCATGAGTTTAAATCTTGTAAGATGGTATGCAGGAATTAAAAATATGAAATCATGATTTATGAAATTATGAAGCAGTTATGATGCAAAGGATGTCAAAATTAACAACAAAAGAAGGCATAATATTTATTCGTTTACTTTCTTAAACATCTCTTTCAATGTAAGTTGTTTAAGTTGCTTTGTTTTCTGTGCTAATACTTTCTCTTTAATTCTACAACAGAAATAATTTCTTGTTCAGTTACAAAGTTCCATTTTGTCCATGTTACAAAGTCCTGTAATTGCTGTGTCGAGAATTCAGACTAACTTATAATCGAATTTATTTATTTTTTATTTTATTATTTTTTTTTTCCAGTAACCTCTCTGTCACTTTCTTCACTATCAGCAGTGGTATTTCTGGATCTAGAACTATACTACAGATTTTGCTGTCCGTTAATTGATTGATGATTGTGACATTGTCAATGCAATAAAAAACTGCTATGTCATCTTCATTTATTACACTTCTCCTGTCTTCTTCATTTATTACCACTTCTCCACATTTCTTTACAAAATCTATCAATTGGAAAATTTTGCCTTTGGTTTGTGATATCCAAAAATCTTAAAATTCGCGGCTATCATCTTCATCATCCTTACCATGCAATATAGTAGCTGGCCATACATTATGCCAAGCATTTATTAAAGTGTCTGGAGGCACACCCTTCGACGATCTTGCAATGTTCCACAGAGCAGATTTTATGACAAAATATTTAAAAAATTCTTGAACACTCTTGCCATTATTCAAGAAATTTAACATGGATTTTAAAAATGCTACCTTATACAGTACAAAGTCTGTAATTCGGACTCATCGGCACTTCGGCGATTAGGGTTTTTCCGGATTATAGATCATCACTTTAAATCTGGTAAGATGGCATGCAGAAATTATACAATTAAAAATATGAAACCGTAATTTATGAAATAAAGAGCAATTTTGATGTAAAGGGTATCAAATTTTACAAAAAAAAAAGCTTTATTTATTTGTTTACTTTATCAAACATTTCTTTCAATGCGCGTATGCGTAATGTATGCACATTCTTTATGCGCATGCATAAAGTTTGTGGCTTTGAGGTCTGGATCATAGATCATTCCAGATAATGGATGTCCGGATTACGGACTTTGTACTGTATTTGCATTGCAACGCACACACTATTACGATATCCATACGCCTGAATGACGGACAAACAATTTGAAGGAAAGAATAATATGGATACATTATCTTTCACTGAAAGTTTAAGTATGAGCCAAACAGTTGTCTACAATCAGGACAATTTTTGTGTCATCAGGTAAATGAACTAATTCAAATGTTGCCGAGCCTTGTGTATAAAATGATTTTCAAATCAATCATTCGTTAATGCTTGTGTCATCCATGCTCTTTTATTTTCAAGCTATATAACGGCAAAATTCTTTACTCCTTTAAATGCTCGAGCATGTATATTTTTTCCAATTACGAAAAGTTTATGCTTGTGTATTCCTGCAGAATTTGCGCATGCTAAAATTGTTAGTTTCGCTTTGGGATCTTTGAGACCACTTGGAGCCTTTTCTGTAGAGGTTGCCAAAGTATTTCCTGGTATATATAGCCAGAAAAGGCAAGTTTCATCAGAGTTGTAAATTTGTTCTGGAGATAACTTTTCACTGTTAATGAGTTCTATGAATTCATCTACAAATAGTTCAGCAGCTTCAGTATAATCTGAAGCTTTTCCACCTGAAATATTTAGTTGCCTTATACCATAGTGATTTTTAAATTCAGATAACCAACCTGTCGAATATGTGCACTTAGTTTTTATGTTCATTTGTTTATGAAATATTTTGGTTTGAGCCATTATGACTCTATCTGTCAATGGCACGTCCTCGCAGCAACGCTGTTTGATCCATTCAATCATCACTTTGTCATGATCGTCACTTCTAGCATAACGAATAATTTTTCTGTTTTCATTGTAAATGGGGTGTCGGAATCACAAAAAAAAAAAAAAAAAAAAAAAAAAAAAAAAAAAAAAATCCTATTTCTCTTTTCTTATGTCATATACAGTTGACTTTCTAACACTATACTCCTCTCACAATTTTGAGATGGATCTACCTTTATCCATTCATTGCAGCAATTCCACTTTTTGTTTAATGGACATCGAAACATGCTTTCGCTTTATATATCCTTTTGCAGCTCCAGAATTAGAAACTCTTTTCGATATAATTCAAAGTTCAAACTTTAATTTTCATAAAATTGTTGTAATAATAACAGCTTGCAAAAATTAATAAGCTGGATCAAATCAGAAAGCTAAAAAACAAGGCAATCTGCTGTATTAACTTAAATTCCTTGGAATCAGTATAGTGTAATTTTAGCCTAATGCTATACATTATTGGCTATGTATCATGAGATTTGCGCCGAAAGACAAATTCTTCTGCTAAATATTTTGTCTTGCTTCTACCGCACACTGAAGCAGTTAAACCTGAATTGTATTAATTTAGTGATTCATTATACTTAACATCTATTTTTTGCACATGCTTAAGAGGGGCTTAGAGGGCCGGCGCTAGATATCTTACAACCTGATGCAGTCTCTGGGGGTCCTAAATTTTGCTACCAAGCGCCTCCCTAAGTTCTAAATTTTGGATCCCAGGGCTTTCCCTAAATTCTAAAAATTTTGTCATCCCTTAATTTTGCTGCTTGGTGCTTCTCTAAATTAAAAAAATTTTGTTTTTACTACATTCTCCTGCTCAGTGTGGCCATACCATCTCTGGCACTGGTTCCGAGTTTATGTGAATAACAGATCAGTTATTCTCAATTCAAATAGCACTAAATGTAATTTTTTGGTCTATGAGTATCATTAACAAAATCTGTTTTTAGCATATGGAAAGAAATTTTTGTTAGATTTTTCCTCGTCAACATTTCTTAGTGCATTTAACTGAAATCTGTACTCATCGCCCAGCATAATGTTAACACAAAAGGTTACCATACTTTTTGCTATTAAATTACCAATATTAAAAAAAAAAATAAAAAATAGTTAGGCATCACTGCATGAGTCATTACTGAAGTTATCATATCTTGATAAACATGCAGTGATGAAAGCAAAATATAATAACGATTCACCAGGTTGGCGTCAGGGATATAAAATATTAGTAGCATAAAATCAACGATGTTTTTATATAGAATGTTTTGGTTCGAGATGTAAGCCAAGCAATTACGCAGCTACGGAGCCAAATTACTGATTACACAACTTTATGTTAAAATGATTTTTTCTTGATTAACAAGGTATTTTATTTAGTGCCAAAGTGAAATTAAAAATCGAAACTCTCCACATATTTTATTATGGTGAAAAAAAAATCAAATGCGCATGCACAAAGCATACAAAGAAAAAGAAAAAATTCTTAAAAAAAAAGAAGGTTGTTGGTGGGTTTGATGTCCAGATTTTAGATCATTCTGGATATTGGGTGTCCGGATCTCGGACTTCTACTGTAGTTGTTTAAGTACACCACCCAATCTATTAAGAGCATTTGGTCTTAGATATACTTTCATTATCCATGTTTTATTACTAGAATGGACATTTGTACTGTAATATGTAACAGAAGTTCCTTCAGAACTTAAAATCAAATATCTATCCAGAGGTGCTGAGATTTTCTTTACATAAATTACTCATCCAAGGAAACTTGCCTAGATCAACTACAATGGTTCAAACAATCTTCTTAAAAAGACTATATGATAACTATACATGTTGTTTCAAATATATATACATGCCTATGTAAAGTCATAATATTTTCATATATATATATCATAATTTTGGGTAGATAAGCATGACGTATCTGTGTTTAAAGGTTGAAAATTTTGGTCTGCGTATCTGCCAGTGTGGCATATCTGAAGGAATTTTACTTTTTCTGTCTTTAAAACTCTGCTAGTTTAAACTGTAAGTGAAACACAAGCAAAACAATTACTGCAGAATTCACTATGACATTTTAGTCTGATACGAGCACTCGGGTTGTGCTAAGACATTGTCATAAGTTCGAAATCACATGAAACTCTATAGTGGGAAGTGTTTCATGTAAAGACACCGTAATGCATATGCTTTCTGCTCAATTCTGTGGATTTGTGCATATTCTGATGACCATCTTCCTTTTAAATGGCAACAGTAACTTCTATTTCACCTAGCTCTGTGTTCATTCTTATACGTGTCTCAGTGCTTTGTGGCTTGCTTATTACTTTTTTGTTGCAGTGCTTACTTTATCATTCATGCTCATTAAATTTTTTAAATTATTATTACTATTATTACTTTGACTTAAAGAAGAATTATACAGCTACTTTTAAGATTTTGGCGGTGAAGAAAGAGACACAAATTGAAAAATTGAGCTGCAACTAGGGAATTTCAAGTTGACAAGAGATGCATTCAGCAGTGAAAGTCCGAGCAAGAATCAGAGAAAATGTTTAAGAGTAAATTATCTTGACAGACTGGCATCATAGCCTGTAATCTTTTGGAAGACCAGTTAAAGAAATGGACTACAGAGCAGACAGAAAAGGGATTATGAGCATCAACAGTTTGAATTTACCTTTAAGCAAAAATAATTGCTTAACAAATAAGCATTAAATACTTTGTCGAGGGTTTTTGGTGTTTCAGATTCATGAAAGGAAAAGCATTAGCTATCAAGACAAAAACAAGTTGACAAAAGCTTCCTGCGGAGTGACCTTTTTAGAAGTACACATCTCAGAAAATTAAAGAACAAAATTTGAGTAGAAGGCGAATAATTAATATGGATGAAGTGCCTGTTACTTACGACTGTTCCTCCAAGCAGAATTATTCATTCCACAGGTGAAAGAATTATTTCTGTGTTACAATCAGGAATGAAAAGACTTCTTTGGGTTGTGTCACATTGGAGAGAAGTTAACCCCTTTGAAAATTTTCAAAAGAAAATCAGTGATAGAAAATGTCTCTAAATGGGTTATTATTTTTGCCAACAAAAGAAGATGGATATGTAAAGAAATGATGTTGTTTGGGCTAAGAGAAATTTATCGAAAAAGGAAAGATGCTTTTTCCTAACCAAACGGACTCATTGTTCTGGATTCAATGCTATCCCATTTAGTGGATACCATAAAATCCAACGCAAAAAAACTTAGCACCAATGTTTCAGTGATACCAGATCAGCTTAAAAAAATTTACAGCCACTGGATCTCACCATCAATAGAATTTTCAAGCACAAACTATAAAAGCAGTGGGAGGAATGGATGAAGAAGCAGACTTCATTTCTTTACATATTCCAGACAGATAAAAGCTTCGTATCAGGCAGTTGCCTTGTAGGTCAATAAAGCATGGTAATCAGCCGAGATGATATGATCATATTACCTTTCATTAAATTGGAAATCATCAAAAAAAAGCTAATGAAGATAGTGATGTCAAAAGAAGTGATTAAAAACAAGAGTAATGAAAGTGACCTTGATGGTCATTTGTTAAGTTTTTAATTCTTACATTGATGATTCCTATTCTGAAGGTTTTGTGTGCATAAATGCGTTTTATTTCAATTATAAAATTCTGTTTAATTATCTAATATCTCTGTTCTTTTTCATAAAACGGTAATTTATGGTGATAAATAAAGTTTACTATGCACATAAAAATAATGTCTATTAGTAATCAGCACAGTTCATTTTGGGCAAATTCAAGGTAAGATATTCATTTATTTTTTAATTATTTATATCTCACTCCTTATGGTTATGTTGAAAATGTTTGAAATAATATCAATGATGATTACACCAATATGGAAGGGAATTACTCAATAAATTAACATTAAGTAGCATGTTTCTAAATGCTTTATTGTGGGGTATACAGCAGGTGCAGCTTATCCAATGAACCGTTTTTCCCCCCAATTATCATGCATACAGTATATACCCTAGAGTAGCTTATCTACCAGAAATTATGATGTACGTGTGTGTATATAACATTTTATCCATTTCAGATGCAAAAACAGTCGTAATACATTTAATTATTTAGCATTTCCTGTGTTTATGTCAGATTTAATTTCATAATAAATGCAGATCCTGAATTTTGGCAAATTCTTTTTTCACTTTACATAAAGCCTTACTTTCAGATGCATATTCTTTGTATTTAAATGTTAATTCTAAAGTTATGTAGTTTTAAAAAATTATCCACACATTAAGCATATAGTATTATGCACATATTACATGCATATTATGCATATATTAAGCATTTATTTGTCAAAAACTTTTCAGATATTGCATTCAAACTTCAATGCACTTCATCACTGGTTTCTTTCCATTCTGCACAAGTCTGCAAGCATGTTTACATTAGCAGTGAATGCAGACAGTATCTTGAAAACAGCACCTCGTAAATATTTCTCTGGCATAAAAATGGAGAAAAAAGTAGACATAGAAAAATTTTCTTTTAATAAATCATGAACTTAAATTGTAGTACTGTTAAAATAACTGGAGATACATGGAATTTAATGACAGAATTAACATAGGAATTCAATTCAGGGAAACCCATTGCTCTAGCGACTTTATAAACAATGCATTTACTTATTTTTTCTCTTACCAGAATAAATATTATTTAGAAATTAATTTCATTGATAGATATATTATTTTTCTACATCCTTTATTTTTTCAAAAACTTTTCTATTATATCTCATTACTTTGTCACTTCCTTGTACTGGCATCATTGCAACTGCGCATACATATATTTGTTTAGAAAACAAGTTTTATGTTCAAAAAATCTTGATTAAATAATTCTTAAAGCATGTGTGTGTTTTAGTAATTTATTTATTTGTAAATGATCAAATTTAATGCCAAAATTAGAAAGTGAAAAACATAAACTACACTCAAAACATGACATATAATCTGCAAAATTTAATCCACGAACCTTTGGTTCCAAGCTAGACAGATTATTGAAATTCTATTGCAATTAACACTTTTTTTTTTTTTTTTTAAGTCTGAATCATATGATTTTTATTTTTTGACATGAAATCTGGAAAACACTAAAATCATCCACACAAACGCAGGTTCCAAGCTTTGCAGATTTTTAATTTTCTACATTTGTTGCCCATTTTCTACTGTTATAATTATCATAACTACAATTATTGTATGATTTATTTCATAATACTCAAACTACAAAAGAACAGTTTTATACAACATTAAATTGATGGTATTATATTATGACTCTGACTGCATATGGCTATTAAAAATCAGAGGACATACAAAAGTATATCATCATGGAATATTAATGCTATGAACTGAAATTTTGCTACCAGAACTGTGATATTAACACATGAATTTTGAAGAAAATTTACCTGGCTCAGTAAGACAATATGAAGCAAAATGTTCCATTGTAGAAAGTTTTGGCAACCACTTCTGCTTTTGTTCCTTGTTTCCATAATGATCGATCATCCACAGAGCCATGCTTCAAAAAAAGACACTTTTAAAAAATTATAGTTAAAACAAGTAAAAATATATGTTAAACATTTAAACCAGCTGTTAAGTTTTATATTATTTTTACTGTGTTAACTAAAAAGCACTTTCATTACAAAAAATAAGAAATTATAAATCTGCAAACATGAAAGTTATTACTCTTAAAGCGCACATCCATGGTAATTCATTAAACATTTATAACAATTATTTAAAAAACAGGTCTTACTTATGAATAGTTAAATAAGCCGTAGTACTAACACACCCACGAGATAATGCTTCAAAAATTATTGAAGCATCTAACCGTGTCAAGCCTGCACCTCCATGATCTTCCGAAATGTAAATAGCACCAAAGCCTAATGCAGCAGCCTTTCGCAGAGTTTCAATAGGAAATATTTCCTGAAAATATGCCTGTTTAGGTAACTAATTTATTAATAAAAATCTTGTTTATATAATGCAATACCAACAAAGACTGGCAATAGAAATAAAGTAATTTATTAATCAAAATGCTTGCTTATATGAAAAGAAATGGAAACAATGAAAAATACACCTTTTTCATGTCTAAACAAAATCATAAAACAAAATTCCTTATTCAAGCTTTTATCACTTAATAATTTATTGACAAATATCAAAAGATCAAATCTGCCATTAACATTTTTGTCGTAGCTGGCATGTATCTAACCTATGCTTTCATTATGAAAAATAATTTTCAAGGCATTTTAGTTCGCTACACAGATATTAAATCTAATTTTTGAGGCAGGATAAAGAATATATGGACATTATTGTTTGCTCTTCCTTTTCCCTGCCACCAGTTCACTTAGTCAAAAAAATCTTAATAACAAAAATTAATATCTAAAGTCTACCAGAACAAGTTAAAAACTTTTATCTAACTCAAAACTTGAAGAAGACAACCCAAATAAAAAATATTAAGTTTCCTTGATGTAGAACTTTTTATAATTACTTGCAGTAGCTGTTGTGTTTATTTCAATAATCTATGCAAGTAATAATTTGTTATGCAAATTGTTGGAATAATTACCAAGCTATAATGAGCTTATGCCATGCATAATGAAGTCATTTATACGAGATTACAGTACAAAGGTCTCAGATCCGGATTCGTCGGGACTTCCGCGATTCCAGATTTGGGATTTTTCCAGATCATCAGTTTAAATCTAGTAAGATGGCATGAAGAAATAATAAAATTAAAAATATTAAATTGTGATTTCTGAAATAATGAAGCATTTATGATCTAAAGGGTATCAAAATTTACAAAAAAAAGCTTAATATTTATTTTTTTACTTTGTTAAACATTACTTTCAAGTTGTTTAAGTTGCTTTGGTTTTTGTGCTAATACTTTCTCTTTAATTTTATAAACAGATATAATTTCTTATTCAGTTACAGAGTTCCATTGTTGAAGTCCTGTAATTGCTGTGTCTAGAATTCCGACTAACTTGTCAATCGAAATTTTTTCGCCACTCTGTGTCTGTAACGGCATTTTCTCGATCTAGAAACATAATACAGATTTCACCATCTGGTAACTGATTGATAATTGAGGAGCACTGTCACCACAGTGAAAAAATTCTTTTATATCCTTTGGTTTGCGATATCCCAAAACCTTCAGGAGAACCTCCAGTTTTGCGGTTATCATCATAAAATTTAGCTATCGTTCACTATACATATTTGGCTAAGTATTATGAGATTGGAGACTAAAGACAAGTTGTTCTGCTAAACTTTATCTTGCTTATGTTACGCACTGAGAAATTAAGCCTGAATTGTATTAGTTTAGTTATTTATTACACTTATGCCTATTTCTTGCACATGCTTAACGCTTCTCCGAGTCCTGAATAAATAAATTCCCACATATACTTAAGGCTTATTTAAGGCCGGCACCTGATGCAGTGTCAGATAATTATCAGATAATATCTTCCTTGAAAGAAAAGATGTCCATTTGCAGTACTTCCAATGGACCATTAGGTATTTCTTTAGATATCACTGGTTCTTCGCTATAGCTAAACTCAAATATGTTGGACAGTTCATTCTCAAATCTTAAGTTTCTTTTGACATTCCTGGCCAATATAACATTTCTCTTGCTTTGTTTTTGCATTTTTCTACTCTTATATGACCATAAGGAATTCTACTTAACATATCTCTTTATAAACTTCCAGGTACAACTATACAAGAATTTTTAAATAGTAATCCATTTGCTTCTGACAACTCTTCTCTGAAGTTAAAATATGGTTTTGCCAGTTCAGGAACCATATGCTTTGTATTTTCATTTAACCTTCAGACACTTTTTACAACCATCCCAACATGGGCTTCTATGTCTCCTTTGGGAGGAAAAAAATCTTTAAGCAGGAAATGATCTTGATAATGCATTAAACTATAAAAAAAATTTTTTTTTTTTAAATCTCAAACTGATATGACTGTAATCTTTTACGCATTCTTGGTAATCTCTTAATGAGAAATTTATTTAATGGCTTCTTAAAAACTAATTCCAATGGTTTACACTCACTTAAAATTTCAAAAATTTATCAAATATCTACTGGTGAAATATCTCACCTGCAAATACAATAGCTAAAGTTTCTCTTTCAATTTGAACATAATTTTTCTCTGTACTTGTTAATGCCTTAGATACATATGCCACCAGTAAATTATTTTGCCAGTAAAAGTGCTCCTAGTCCTTCTTAAGATGCATCTACAGATAAAACAACAGTCATATTTATATCATAATACTGTAAAACTAGTTTATTTATTAAGGCAACTTTTAACCTTCTAAAGGCATTTTCACATACTGCATGCCAATTCCAGACACCTTTTTTTTTTCTTTTTTTTTTTTCTTTTTTTAAACAAATTAAACATATTATTAATTCTGATGCATTAGATACGAACCTAGAAACATATCTAATCATTCCTAGGAAAGTATCTTAATTCCTTGACACTTTTTTGGTGCTTCTGTATCAAGAATAGCTTTAACTTTGGCTTCATTTGGTTTTAAACCACCTTTAGAAACTGTATGCCTTATGTATTTGACTTCATTTGGTTTTAAACCAGCTTCAGAAACTGTACGTATTCAGCACAATTTTACATTTGTTTAAATTAAATTTAACATTCTTCTCTCTAGCTCTTTCTGGTACCTTCTTTAATCTAAAGTCTCCTTTTCTTTATCTTTCCCCAAAACTAACAAATCATCTATATATACATTTGAACTCATTCTACATCATTAAAAATGTCAGAAAAACTTTTACCAATGAACTCGTTCCATAGGACTACCTTAAAAAACAATAGCTACCAAATGAAATATTTAATGCAGTAAGTTGACATCTTAAATCTGATAGTTTAACATTCCAATTTTTTTTTTTTTTTTCATCTAAAATACTAAATATTTTTGCATTTGTCACTATAACGTGAAATTTTTTTAAGATTAATATGTGATAATGTTCTCTGAGTATGTTTTGGTTCACATATTGAGGATTTAAACATAGTCTTAAACGACCTTCCTTTTTTCTTAATCCAATTAATGAATTCACAAGTTCTGCAAATATATCGCAAATAAAGGAAATGGCGCCTTCATGGCTATTTACCTGACTATTGGAAGGAATTCTAAATTAAGTCTGAGAATCAAGAAAATGCTTTACACTTTTCTTATTCAACCAATTCATTTATATGCAGCCCCTGCCTGGGCAATTGGATTAAAAATCTTAAAAAGAATGAAACTTAAAATACTTCAAAAGAAAACTCTCAGATACATTACAAATGCCCAATAGTTTGTTAGAAACAGAGAAATGCATCATGATCTTGAAATACAACCATTATTTAACCAGATTCTTATTACTTCCATAATTTTTTCGAAAACATGAGGAAAAGTTACGACACAATTCGAAGCATTATTGACTATGACCCGACAACTAATCACATAGTCCACTGACCTAACACCATTCACCACAATTCTAAGTGGTAATTTTGTATCTTTTGTATATATTTTCAAGTTACTCCTGTATCTTATCGATCTGCATTTATTTTATTGACTTAGTTGAGGAACTTTAAGAACAGGTAAGCGAATAATCGCTTAGTTCAGAGAGATAGAAATGTAAATGCACAAAGGGTTAATTACCCTTTATTATTCAAAATAAAGTTAACAGACAATTGTAAAAAAAAACAAACAACAAAACAAAAAAACTTAATACGCTGTATTAGAGAGGGCATATGGACTCTGCTGTTTATTTGTGCATTCACTCTTATTTAATCAAGATTTATTATCAATTGTTATTAATCAAACTCTAATTATTGCAATTACTTTACTAATTTCTCTCGGTAGCTTGCACATGACTATGACAGACCAATACCATGTTTTGCCTTACTATGCTTCGTTATTGGACGACGTCACTCACGTGACCTCTCTTACTAGGACTCTCACTGAACGCCCCTTTCTCAATTAGAGCTTCACCTCGAACAGCTGAACTCCTAGAGGGAGGTTCGAAATTTTGCAGCTCTTCTTGATTACTGGTAAGCTCTTTTATGTTCTCCTAGATGGCCAGTAAGGAACCACCGGATAAGTTTTGGGCTCGCACTGACGATACTGACTATGATATTGATAATGGCATGGACACAGATTATTCTATGAATTCTAGGCTTAATCTTTAAAAAAATAGCAGAAACGAATCGGGAAATTCTCAAAGCCAAAAATTAATTAAGTCATCTGCTAAGAAATCAGGAAATAATCAGACCTTAGAAAAATTCAAAAACAATTTTTCCTAACTTAGTTACAGCTCAGCTAGAAGCAAATAAAAATACGCAATACATTACGCCAACCGGACAGAAATGTCTTCAGGAAATTACAGGCCCCCAGAGTTAAATGTCAAGAAATTATTCAGGAAAAAATGAAAGAATCAGACAAACCATTTCAAGGCTTTTACAGTGCAGAGAAATTAGAAAGCATAAATAAAGTCTTATTTGAAACTCTTAACAATAATCCGAACAACGAAATACTTTTAATAGCCATACACAACCTTAGGATGAAATACCAGAGAGAAACAGATGCGTACGAGCAAAAAAACCATCCCAGCAAAATATAAGGTCAGTTACGGAATTAGAATGGCAAACGCCAATGAAAACATGTAAGGTAAATCTAAAACTAACTACCAACGAAGAAATACCTAAAGAGAATAGATTTTCAACATTCAGCACGGAAGTGGAAACAGATAATAAGAACACCCCTCCCCAGAAAATATACCTCATTGTAATCACAGAACCAAACCCAAATTGGAAGGAACTTCATAAAATGTGCAGTACATTTTGCCAGACCAAAACTTTGAAGCAGAATTTAAAAAAAAAACCTGCAATTTATCTTTATAACAAAAGTTTAGAAGATTTCCAAAATGCAGTTGAAAACTTCAAAAAAATCA